TATATATATATATTGCAAAAGAGAGAGAGAGAGAGAGAGAGAGAGAGAGAGAGAGAGAGAGAGATAGGATATTCTATATTATTACTCACAAATATATAAGAAATAAATATACAGAACACAATTAAGAACATAATTACAAAGTTAAACTTATTCCATCTAATTTGCAACAAGTTTATGGTGAATTGATACTTGGAAAAGGCATTATCTGAAAGTTACATAACTTTTCTAGTAATATCATAACTAATTCTTGTGTTGTCCTTGATATTTTCTACAAGAAGCAAGTATTAAAGACATACCGCAGGTCTGCCATGAGGACAAAAAGCCCTGTAGGACATATATCCCAAACCCACGCAAAGGGCAGTAGGTGGTACAAGGGCGAACCAGTCCCTCACTGATATAAAGAAAAAAAAAAGAAGTGAAACAAGTTAAATTAAAAAAAAATTATACACGTATTTAAATCGAGAGGTTATGAAAAGGTTTCGGAATCTGGAAAATGATATGTCGCATAATTGTTGTTGCAAGGTATGGAAATGTATGAAATATAGAAATTACCTCCCAGTCGGAACCATCCGCCTATCGAATCGGGAATCGGTAGGCCGGCCAGATAGTTCGGGATGGACACTTTGACAAGATGTGCAATCGGTTCCATAGTCGCTCGGCTGACTGACGATAGCGCCATTAGCGTCAATCAGCCGCGTCAGCGTCCGCCAACAGTGCCGAATCATGGGTAAAAAAAATCTTTTGCAAAATCCTGTTGGATACCGATACATACACGCATATTTTTTTAACAAGAGGACAGTGCACTTACGATACCACAGAATAGAATCACCTCTTCATATTCTTTTTCTCATCAATTTTTCTCATCATATTTGTATTTCTTTTTTCTTATATTGTAATTAATGGATTTGTGATCGATAAACTATTTTCTTCCTAATTTCTTCTAAATAAATTCTTTCTGAATTTTAATCGTTATTGGTTTGACAACGATCAATCTTTTTGAAAAATCATATTCAAAAATAAGTTTGTAGATATACGAGTTTTAAAAAAATCGGTAAAAAAAAACGGTATATATAATATGTAATACCAGGGTGCGGCCGGTGCCGTGCGTATATTTCAAGATTACATTGAAATTTTTACATATATTGTTTACGTTAAATTTACACGAATTTCTTTCATGTAGATAATAACATGTGCATTCGGAGAGACGTTATTAACGCTATTGATATTAATGTCATTCTATCTTTATCATTTATTACATGTAAAAATTCATTAGGTAGATACATCTATTATTATATTTTATGCGTAAACTGTGTAAATGTACAATCTTCTAATATATACGAACACTTACCGAGCGCAACATACATAACACGTAGATAGATGAGAAAACTGCAAGATGTCCATGGTCTCCACCAGTCTCCACGTCTTTCGTCTTTCATCCATATCCTATATCCGCTCCTGATCGGCACGCTAGACGATTGGTCGGCAGCGAAAGATGGAGGGGGACTCGGTGACGAGGTGAAAGACCGGTGGCGCGCGCAGGTGGCGCCGCGCGCTCGCTCAATCAGTTGCGGGGTGTCCACCGGCCAGGTGAGAAAGTTGTTATTATTATATTTGTACTCTCACACGCGTCTTTCGTCGCGATACGTGCCGCCGCTGTTTACGGCGTCTATCCGTGATCGAGTAGTCCGAGTAGATTTGATCTCCTACGCGAGAAAAGAGTAGCGTATACAGAGTGAAGCACGAAGCAGCAGCAGCAGCAGCAGCAGCAGCAGTCGCCTTACATCTCCCTTCCTCCCTGTGGCGTCGAATGAGAGCGAAAGAGACCGAGCGCAGCCGAGGATCGTTCGCAGTGCGGCGCGACGAAGAGGGGAGGGCGCTTCCTCATCCCGCGCGTGGGTGTGCGAGTGATAGATACACAGTTGTCGGGTGACAGAAGCGCGGAGGGCGAGGATAACCCAAATAAGGAAGGTGCGCCCTTTGCTCGTTACCACCTCGATCGGAAGGATCGGAAGTGGACAAGTGCGAGAGGTAGTGCGAGGTAGTGTGAGATCGTGAAAAGGTGACATTACGGCAAATGACAGCGAAGAGGTGAGGATCAATGTGCCGTGATGGCTGAGGAGGAGCTGCTGGTCACCCTGTGCCGCGGCGACTCCGGCTCCGGCGGCTCTTTCGGTTTCTCGTTGCTCGGCGCCTCGGCGTCGGCGGGCCTGCCGGCCGCCCACGTCATCTACGACATCGTCGAAAACTCACCGGCGGCCAGGAGCGGCAAGGTGAGTTACAACGTTACAATACGGCATAAACGTAAACCTCTCCGCCGCGCCGCGCCGTAAGGACGATTTTCGCCTGTCTCTTTCACAGGAAATTGATCCTTACGTATCAACGATTCTCGCACGATCGATTTTTGTGTATGGCACGGTATGTTTTTACAAACGAAACAATGACTTTCCTATGGTTTTTTTTTTCTGGCGTAGCTTCCATAGGGAAATTGATTTTTAAGAATAAACGTACCTGGCGATAACGATTTTTCGTATAACGATTTTTCGCCTCTGCAAGCATTAGAAATTAAACCTTGGGATGAACAATTTAATAAAATCATTTTCGTGTGCACCCAGTGTTTGAGAAATTGATACTCGCGAGATCAATATACACGCGAGATGCTACAATTCTCGCAAGATTGATTTTCGCTAGTAGAGTGGTAAATTGATCTTTGTAAATTAAGGAACTATGTAAGATTGTTTTTAGCGTGATTGATTTTTATAAATAAATGTTACAATTGTATTGAAGTCGATATTTGCATGCTGTCTGTGCAGCGGAGATTGATTTTTTCGATAGGTATTGAAATGAGTAAATTAAAATAGAAGAAATGAGGTTCTCATAAACTGTTTTATATGCGAGTTCCACAATACTGATTCGAAGAAAAAGATTGTGTTTTTGCGTCACTGGTCGGAAATGAATCAAGTTAGTTTAAACTATTTTTAAAATACATTAAATATTGCAGATTAATATAACTGTTTTTCCGAACGAATTGTGCTTTTGTAAAGAAGAAGAAATGAAATTTAGTACTTCAAGAAAGATCTTCTCAATGTTCTTTAAAGAGCTCTCAATATACACGAATAAGAATTGTGATAGTCCAAAGTACAGCCTCTCTAAACACTCACGAAGCTCCAAGTAAAAATAAGATATATTATTTCTAAGGGAACTGATTTTTCTAATTTAAACTGGATGGTTAATTAAAACAAAGATATCGTTTTCTCATAAACTGTTATTTGTTCTTGTAAATTGTTATAAATATACATTTATAATAGCAAATTAATGATACTCTTATCAAGTTAAATTAAATTTTAATGATTTTTACCATTTTTGTTTAAGTTTAAAAATTTTATGAAATTTATTTAAGTCTAAAGTTGTTAAACTGATAACATTAAGTAGTAATTTTTGAAAATTAATTTGTTAGAATCACAATGTGTTAATCAGTTTTTAATTAATTAAAATTTTGAAACATATGAATAATGAATGAATATTAAGTTTTAATAAAAAAGATATTTATTTATCTTTATTTATATCGATATTGCAAATAAATGAAGAAAGAAGAAATAACCTGAAGACATAATCAAGATACTTTTTACTCTCATAAATAAATAATTTAAACAATATTTATATATGATCAAGTAGAAAAGACTGGTTAATGTGGTTACGAAGTCGCACAAGTCTCTTCGGCTAAATTTAGTTTTGACGCTGGAAACGAAGAAAAAAATGACGAAGGAGCAAGATATGTGATGTAAAAGCGAGAGTGCACCAGCTGCATTCTTTCTGCATAGTGGCACAGTTTCGCGAAGAATATTTAATAACTCGTTAGAAATTTCACGAGAGAATTTTGTGATTATTTATATAGAAGATATCAAGATAATAATTAAGACTAATGAATGAAAATTATTTCTTGGATAACAAGCTTTGAAAATATAATTTTTGATCGTAATCTGACATCTTAAAGTTTGTTTGTTGTATTTATTTTAAATAATATTGCAGCATAGGAGAGTAATTTTGTCCTGCTTTTCGTTTTTCAATTAGCTGACTTTTCAGTAAAGAGAGCTGCTTTTGACGATCATTAATTGCTCCGAGAAAGATGTTGAGTCTCCTGAGATCATTGGAAATCACATCCGTATGAATGCCGGGGTATGGGCAGCTGGTCCAAACTGGTCCATCGTCCCAGAGCAGATCCAGCCCCCCAATTCTGGTCTCGTGTCCGCTGAAGCAACCCTTCAATTAAAATTTTTTATTTATTTATAAATATTAAATATTTTTCAAAATTAAAAAAGTTTATATAATAGCAATTATATTTAAAAATATTTTAATCAAATACATAATAAAAAACTTTATATAAAAATATATGAAGTAATTATAAGTGTACATATAAATATGTAAATAAATATTTTTATAAAATATAAATATTTTTATTATTAACTATATATACTATATATATATATATACTATATAATTATAGATAATAATATATAAAAAGCAAGAGAAAGAATTCATGTATAACTGGTACCTCAAAGTCGAGGACATTGAGGACGTCGTCAACCAGATCTGATTTCAGACGTTGATCCTCGTTGTCGGTGCCTGTTAAGGCTGGGGATGCGTTGATTTCCAATAACCAAGGTCGAAGATCATCACTGAGCAGTATATCGTAGCCATAGAGCTCGAAACAGTTGCGATCTTGCATCATGGATGGTTGTACTGCCAGTAGACTCGCCATTATCACGCCTGCAATATAAATATAGATATAATATGTACAAACATTACACACATATACACACACACATAAGATAAATCGTAAAATGATTATGTTATTTATCAAATCTTATTAATAACAGTAATTTGATAATTTTGAAAATACCCGCAATGCGTTGCATCAAATTTTCAACCACTTCCGTCTTATAATAAGCTATCAAATAATCCCTGAGCTTATTCAATGCCCATTTACAGCTCCACTCCCCATTCTCGCCATTTATCGAAGAGATACCCTCGGTATTCTGACTTGCTTTCAGCTGTATTGCCGTATTTGTCAAATGCACTCTGTTGTCGTCAATGTTTTCCAGATCAAACAATTGGCCACATAAACGAGCAAAACCTTCCCTAGCTAACCATACTTTCAAAGGATGAAATGATGTCACCAATACGTAAATGCGTAGATCAAACTTTCGCCCTGAAATCAGAGATTTAATTTTTATAAAATAGAAATGTTGATATTAGAAGAATTCAAGATACATGGAGCTAATTCATGATTTTAATGGTTTAATACTAATATCAATTAGCAATTAATAGACAAAATTTAAATTACATACCGTGTATATGTATAATATACATTACAAATAAATATTCAATTACTAAAAATTGAGTTAATAAAGTCATAAAATTTAAGTACATATACACGTACACTTATTTGAATTTAATTTCTCAACTGTATGTACGTAACTTTTATACTTAATTTATATTATATATTTATATATTTATATTATATATTATTTATATTATTATTTATTATTAATATTAACTTAATAAAATTGAATTTCTACACTGAGAAAAAATTTATTAAATCTTAATAAATATTGCTTTGAATTGTCCTAGCGAAATATATAATAAAAAATATTAGGTGTTGGAATTAATTCGTATCGTTTTACAAGTGATGGGAAGTACTTTCATTAATGTATTTTTTAATGCTCATGTGAAATAAATAACATTCTTTCATTAAAAACGCTACGAATTAATTCCAACACCTAATATATATTTAATTGTTGAACTTATAATTATTAATTAATATATTTAAATGATTGTATTAACATTGAAGATTAAAAGATTTGAATTTTAACCTGCGACGAGATAAGGATTATCAATGTATTTTTGAACAACATAAATTTCATCCTGATTGTTGCGATTTGACCTCTCTGCTTTTCCATTCTATAAGATCCTTCAGTTTTCTAAATAGAAAGATACCGTTGCCGCGTGATCTTGCTACTGGTTTGACGATCCATGTGGCTCCTTGTTGCCTACAATTATCATTTATCATCTTATTGAGATTCTCTAACTCCATAATTTTAATTCTATATAACTAGGATCGTTTTTTTATTTCTTAAAATTTACTTTCTTATTTGAATACAAAATATATTCTGTGAACCAGAATTCTTAGATCTTTGTTGTGCATAAAATGTAAAACAAATACATTTAATATATGTATGTGTGTAAGCACGCATGTGTACATATTAATGTAAAAATTTAAAAGTTTACTATAGAAATATGAATTTTATAATATTGTAAATAAAAAAAAACATTTAAAAACGACAGTTCTTTGAAAAAGTTTCTTTTAGTATAGATATAGATATACTATATCTATATCTTAAGAAAAATTTTCAAGATATCACCATCATGTACCGATATTTATTTGCTTATAATATTTTTCTCGATAAGACCTTCTAATAAAATATAATATTTATAGATAACGATAAAATCATAAAAATTAGGATAGTGACGAACTTAATTTATAAAAAGAAATATAAAATAAAAATAAAAACTTAATAACATTTACTTAATTAAAAATCTTTAATTAATAATATAAACAATAAGAAATAATTTTACTTATGATATTCCTCGACAAACATCAGATAGTCACTAGGTAGCTCGAAGGTCACAGGCATGACATCGCTGATACGAGCCTCGGCAATTTTTCCAGCCCTTATGAGGGCCTTCCTATAACGTTTGAGATTGCGGTATAGGTAATTCTTTCGCGTGAGCTCATAGTGATTACGGAAGTGTGGCACCCGCTGGTAAGGGCGCAGCTTCTTTCGGTCCCCATCCAATACCTGTCGCAGCACATCTCCCGTATCGCACCACCATAAGTGCCAATTAGTATCTTCAGGATCAACTATCTCAAAGAAGAAAGATATAAAGCTCTCCACTAATTATCTCCTCTAATGTGGTACTTTTATTACTGTAAATTTAAAACTTTGCAAACTATATAAATATAGAAACAAAATATTTAATTTAGGAAAATTGAGATATTTATTATAAGCTTTAATATTTTTTTCATCACACTTTGCTTGTGTAAAAGCTTGTCTAAAACAAAAAAAAAATGTTTGACTTTTTCTTAATTATTCAGTGTTTTCGGCGTCTATTTATTTTAAAGCATTTAAATTAACCAGTTGCAATTCTATCTGTAGTGAGTTACAGCACTCACCATTAAAAAAACATTATATAAATCGTGTTAAAATTAATATGATATAGTATCTATATATATTAATTTTGACAGGATTTATATAATGCTTTTTTAATGGTGAGAGTGCTGTAACTTTCTCTCTCTCTGTTTTTTTTCCATCTGTATGTGTATTATTAATGAATATCTTTTTTATTATGTGGTATTTTGTATAGAGATCCTATAAAATCAAAAACTTGACAAAATTACCTGAGTCCAACCTCTTGCCAACATCACTTCAACTTGCGTGGAAGGAAAATCACAACGGAATTTGACGATTTTATCTTCAGAATTCTGCTTTTTTTTTAAGTTGCATATTTTTTTTTCTGCACCATATTTGGTTATTTCGATCTGTAAAGGGCTAATTCGCGAATCCTCGAATATCTTTTGCGTATTATTCATTATAGCTTCAAGATAAATTGAATGATTCAGCCATATTGAAGATGATTCACATTTGTTAGTTTATACAGTGTATTTGAAAGATTCAGCTTTTCTTCAAGTTCTCTTGTAATCCGAATTTTTATGTTATATTAATATTAGGATTAATTTAATTCTAATTAAAAGATATAGATTAAAAGATTAATTTTGTAATATTAATTTAATTTTTTAATTTTAATTAAATTTTCATTTGTAAGAAAAAATGTATACTTATTATTATATCATTATATTATTCTATTTTATTATTATATTATTCTATTTATATTATAAAAAAATACACACTGTTGGAAAAAATATGTCAAATTTAACATAAATCGCATACGGTCCATTCAAATTTTTAGGTTAATTTAATACAAGATAAATATGTTAGAAGATTACACAAATATTATGTAAGAGAATAAATACAAAAAAGATAATACAGTTTGTAAACCATGGAAGCATTTTTTTTTCAATAAAATTAATGATATGTTAAAAAAAATTTATGATATGTTAAATTAACACAAATTTTATTCATTTATCTTACAATTTACATTTCAAAACACTTTATTGTTATGTTATTTGTTCACTTACTCATGAATTGTCTCATTTTGACACTAAGAAATGTTGAATATCAATTAAACATGTGATTGTTATATAAAATCTTTAAATAACACTCGAATATATTAAAAAATTCAACACAAATTGTTAACAAGAACGTAAGTGACTTGTCTCCAACATAAATACACTTTTTTTTTACTATGCACAGTTTTTTTGTATTTATTCTTTAATATAATATTTGTATATCTTCTAATATATTCATCTTGTGTTAAATTAAGCCAAAAATGTGAGTGAATGGTTTGAAACATGCGATTTATGTATGTTAAATTCGACATATTTTTTCTAACAGTGTGTAACTGGTATAATAATCCGAATAACATTTAAAAATATGGAAAATATGGAAAATAAAATCAATGATGAAATGATTACGCGGTAATATACAAGACCCATCTATATATATATGTATATATATATATATATAGATTAATATAATTATTTACATAAGACAAAGTGCATTGTGCGCAGAATGATTCATTAGAGTTGATTAGAGGACGGATTAGAGGGCAGCAAGAGAAAAGTCAATGTCATTGCGGATCCGAAAATACAATTGGCCACCAGCCGAAATCTCCACATTCCGATTCGCACTCGATCAGTTGCATTTTGTCGATTACGAGTTGTCATTGCTCTTTCAATGTGAATAAAGAATTCAGAATTCTAACGTGATTAAAAGTTCTATGCTCTAAAGTTCTAAAAGTGCGCAGCGAATGCCTAAACTCGCGTCTTGTTTGTCGTGCTGTTTGCGACCTTTCGAGTTCCTTCTGAGTGGACATTTTAAAAGGGATAGATATGATTATGTTGAGTACATGGCTCTCTGTCAGGTGAATCTCAATTCTATGTAAAATTCATTCAAATAATTATGTAACGTGAGAAAACAGATACTTATGTTAATAAAACAATTGATGACGTGTTTGGAAAGTACATATTATTAGTTGTTGTTTTCACTATTTGTTATTTTATTTATTGTTATCACTATCGTATTTCACATCTTTTGAATTACAAAATTGATATATATATATATATATATATATATATATATATATATATATATATATATATATATATATATATATATATATATATATATATATATATATATATATATATATATATATATATATATATATATATATATATAAATATTATAAAAATTGTATATTATTGAAAAGTAATCAATTTAATTCTATAAAAATGCACATGTTGCACATTTCTATTGTGTATATAGAATATCTTTGTTCATATCATACTGTTAAAGCAACTGGTGCAGATAAACTAGTATCCTTTCATTGAACTTGTCTTGCCCTCGATGTAATTTCGTAACAGGACTTGCTTTCACGCAACGACGATCGTATGCGTTTTCAATCGACCATGCGTTTGACAATGTATTGATATGCGTAGATTATAGGAACTATTATTTAAAATCATATTAGCTAATTATCAGAGATATTATTTAATTACTATAACAAACTTGGTTGACATATAATAAATATATTGTGTGTATATATGTATATATTATATATAATGTTCATATAATGTGTACTTTTTATAGAGAGATTTTTGCTTGATTTTTTTTAGGTCGAAGCTGGTGATGTCATACTCAGGGTGAACGAAGTTGATGTTAATCGATTCAGTACGAAAGAAGGTAAAAATATTACATTTATTAAGTCTATCTCTTGATTTTTAAATTATGGAAATTTAATTTAATCAAAATTTAATTTAATATTGCTGATTCAGAATATATCATATATACAATTTAATATAATTATTTAATATAATTATATAATTTTTTAAATTATCGTCATTATATAATCAAAATAAATTATCTTATAGATTTATCGTCGCTTTCCCGTAATTGCAAGTTCAAATATAGGGAGATAATAATATTATATTAAATTATATTTAATTTACATATACTGTACTAAGTTTAAAAAATATTTCATTAAAACGTAAATGGTAAAAACAAAATAATTGCGATTTTTCATGCTGTTGGAAATTGATTTTCTTTTTATATTTGTATTTTGTTATTTATCATAAATTAAATGTCACTGAAGGCAATATGATTCAACATATAAAACGTAATTTAATATAAACTGCAATGGATTAGTTCAAGTTTCGATTCTATTAATTGAACATGACTATTGAAATCGAACTTGATAATACTTCAGAAAACAGAATCTGTAAGATAATTTATTTTTGATTATATAATGACAATAATTTAAAAAATTATTAAATTGTATATATAATTTTTTTTATATTCCGAATTATTTTTAACATACATATTATTTTTTTTATAGATATTAATTTTAAATTATATGAATTTTTGTATATTTCACAGAGAATAATGCTATATTTTAGAGAATTACAGAAACGACATTATTATTTATTTATTTATTTATTTATTTATTTATTGGAGAAATAAGAAATATGTATATAGGAAAATAATTTATTTAAGAATGAATGAGAGAAGCTGGAATGAAAGAAAGAATAAAAAAATACAAGTTTTGATTTTAAAGTTAGTTTTAATTTAAAGTTAACGTTAATTTGTTTTATTTTTTATTTGTTTTAGTATTAAAATGTCTACGACTGTCTTCAGATCCCGTTACTCTGAAACTGCGAAGGGGTAAGTGAAATTTCTTAATAATTTATGATTAATATATATAAAATTTACAAGCTTACATATATTAATCTTTTACATGAAATTTATGATTTTTTTATATATGTATATCATTCAAACACTGTCTATACTATAAATACCAATTGATTATGTATTCACAAGGTTACTGAACTCTTGCGATCGTACGCGATCTAATGATAGATCATTGACTGTATACGTTCTCTTGAACCTGAACTACAATAATAATAGAATTAACGTTGTAATAATCATCGCGATTAACGCGATGAACAGAAAAAAAATTACGCACTTATCCCTTACAGAGGGGATGGCCGATGATCAAGGACGCGTGATTATCCGCACGAGCGACTTTTAAACGATGCACGAGAGCGACAAATAATTTTCTATTAGATGGTTACATTGATCTCTCAAGGGGCACTTTTTTGTTTTTTGTTTACAATATTGTTAGATCGTTTTTATTATTATTTATTATTATTATCTTTATTATTATTATTATCTTTATTAGTTTTAATTATGAATAGATAAATTTATTAAATTCTACTAATTTTAATTTTTTCTGATGACAAATAATTTGTTGTCAGACAATCTTTTATATTTTTATTAAAAAAACATTTCTGACATTTTAATCTTTTAATCGGTATTCTTCAATTAATTTCAAATAGATTCTAATATAATTTTTGTTTTCAATTTCATTTATAAACATAATTTCATCGAAATTTTGAAAAACAATTTGATGTTAAAAAACATTATAAATAAACGTGATTTAATAACAAATATATTCAATGTAATATTTTATATATGACAAAATGACAAAAAATAATATATACAAAATATGTAGAAACATTTATAAGATGTTAAAATAAAAAAATTATGCAGATCCTGCAGTAAAGGCTCATGTTCGTCGCCTTCTTTCTCCCGGACAACCTATGAAAGATGAGGGCATAGAATCTTCAAAAGATGTTTTGGCAAACAATCCCAAGAACATCGCTTCCGACAATGTAGAGAAAAAGGAACTCAAGAAGACGCCGGTCACACCAGAAATGTCTGCAAACTCGCCAACGTTGACACCGACGCCTGCAACAACAACGAGGAGCAACGGCTCCTGCAGCGATGCGTCTCTTTCATCGGAATTAGAGGCACTATTGCCACCCGTGGACCATTTTAAGGAAGAGGAACGGACTCAATGGGAACCCCTATCCGCCGAGAAATTTTCACGACAGAAAAATACACCCCGGTATAAATTGCAATATAATCATTCATCATATTCTTGACATTCATTTGAGTCTCTCGATTTCGATTTTTATTAGTTACAATTGATTATGCGCATTATATTTTTATTTGACTTTTATTTGGAAAATACGAATTATTGGGAAAGACAGCAATGAAGATATAGGGAAAAAAAAGAATATAGAAGTTTAATAGCATAGAAAAGAGGAATACTTGACTTAATTTTTTTTTCCTTTTTAAATCATAATATTTTTTTCTTTTTCCCTTCTCTCTCTATGAGATGAATCATTATAATGATGTAAAAAAATATTCTTATTAATAATAATTTCTTATTAATAATAAAATTTATTATTTATTTGTATTAGATTTGAAGCGTACATGATGACCGGCGACCTGATGCTAAATCTCTCCCGAACGCAACAGAGCAGTAATTTGCTGCCTAAGCAGCATCAGCAGCGGAAGGTGGACTCCCTTAGGTACAATCCCAATCATCAGCACACCACTACCACTT